CGCCCCCCCCCCCCCTCCCCAACGAGGTGTTTCACTGCCTTTCCCTTAAGACTCACTGGTTCTTCGATCTCAAGAGTTTTACCGATAAAGCATTTTTTTATTCGCACCTTATTTAGAAAGTAGACATATTCTCACAGAAAGGCCACCCCATTCGAGATACATATAGATAAAACCCTTCACTCGCAGGAATACAAGAAATTTCGCCCTTCTACGGGACAGTCCTCCAACAGCAGTCACCATACAACCAAGCCACCACCACACATGTGTGTAGAACGAAGAAATTGGGTACTCCTGCGAGTCTATTTCTCCGTGCCGTCCCTGTCGTGGCTCCGCCTTTCAAGACGAGCCGGCCGTCTGTTTCATTCGCGCAGTGGTCGACCTCGGTTCGGTTGGCAAACACGCCTCACCAAAACGGAGCATTGTTTTTCGTCTTTGTCAAGCCTTGGATCGCTACCATCTGTAGTACCTTGTCCGCAGGATCGGTTGCGTGTGTGCCCTTGTATAACTTGGAGGTGTTTCGCCACTGCCTGCATCTGCCCGTCTTTGCTTTGCCGTCTCGTGTCCACTTTCGACGCACACGCGCTCATGTCATCAGGAGAAAGTCTAAGTGGACCGCCCCCTGCTCAACGTGCCCAGAAGTTACGTGCGGGTACTGCATCAGCCTACACAGGTGAAGGAACGATCCCGCTGCTTCCCTCTCGGAAGTCAAATCTTCACACGCGGTACCGCCATGTTTGGAAATATAGTAGATGTCCCTCCCTGTTGAGTGCCGGTATGTGCCCAGAACAATCCACCGGCAATCCACCGGCAATCCACCGGACCAGCACTAGTGCCCGCCGAAAACACCGGCTCCATACCAAGCACCGGCACTATTCAACCCGAACTATGCAGAAACCTCAATGGTGTAGGGAACCATTGGGATATTCCAACTGGTGCTCGCATGGTCCAGAGCGGTACGTACTTAGTTGTGTCTTTCTGTGTTCTTTCTGCCCTAAAGTGGCCCAAGACATCCAGGAAGCCCGTGTCATGGTAGTGCCTTGTTTAGGACCGCCTACGCAGACCCTAACACCTAACCCTAAAGCACGGATTGAAAAGTTTTTCCCATATTTTTTGCTTGATCAAATTTGCTGCGTAGACTACTGCTTGTTCACCGAGAAGAGAGTTTCACAACGTGTGAAGCCGACCGTAGGCTGGCGGCAGGCAGCACGTGAGGGTCGGGGGTACCCGCCTACAGCAACGACAAATGGCTAGTGGAGGCTGAACGCGATTGAGCTCACAGAAAACAAAGCGTCGGGAAGACGCGAGCACGGCCCCGGTATTTCCCCGCAGCGAGTTTCAAGCCAGAAGAACCGAGCCACTGGAATAGACACACGCCGAAACATGTTAAATGTATGACAAATTTACCCCCACGCCCCTCTCCCCCCCCCACGCCCCTCAACCTTATTCTTCCTGTCACGTTAGGGAGTCCCCACTCGCGGTGTTGGCGTATGTTACTGCCGAAGACGACGCTCGAAAGAGCGGCAAACCCCCCCCTCGAAACAGCTTCACTTGCTACAAGTGCAGGGGAACCTGCTTCTGCAAGGACTGCGGTGGGCATGGGGTCCGAGCGGTCTCTCAGGCGGTGGGGAGCGGGGCCGCGGCGGAGACGGGAGCGGTGCCGCCGGCGCCGGCGCCGGCGGCAGCAAGAGAGGGTCCCCAAGCTGTCCGGACGGAACCACCACACACCCCAGCATTGGTGAAGTCGCCACCGGTACCGCTGGCACCAAGGGCGGCCGACGTCCGGGTGAAGGCGCCGCCGACACCAACATCGACACCAACGCCGCCGCCGCCGTCGATTGCTCCGCGATCGGGTGCCCAACCGAACCCTGCCAAGCGGGCGGCGCCGGCGGTAGGGTCGGCGGCAGCCCCCGGCTCGGAGAAACGACAGCGAATAAATCCGCATGCGATCAGCAACGGCGACGGTAGGGGACAGCCACAAACCCAGCAGCAGCAGCAGCAGCAGCAGCAGCAACTGTTGATGCAGCGTCGGCGGTATCTGCTGCAGCAGCATCAACAAAAACAACATCAGCAGCTGCAGCAGCAGCAGCAACAGCTTTCGTCTTTGCCCCCGTACGGCACCCCCAGTTCTGCTTCTTCTTCTTCCTCCTCTTCCGGCACGTTGCGCGGCACGCCCCCGTTGGCTGCTCCGGGCGGTATAAGCTCTCTCGCGTCGGTGTTGTTAGCCGAGGAGGACGTCGGGTCCCCGTGGTGGGGGGCGGTGGCACCTCCGGCTCGCCCGATGAGCGGAATGGCTGGCGGTGGTAGCAACGGCAACCACCACCGCGGGTGGAACGCCCAAATGGCATCCCCGCCCGTTCGTAGCGGACCGGCAGGCGCTGGGCCCGGGACCCTGCTCAACGGCGGCGCCGGGGGAACGGCGGCGGCGGCGGCGGCGGCGGCGGCCGGCGGACCTCCCCGCATGAACGGCGGCGGCTACCTGAACGGCTACGGCATCAACGGGCTCGGCCCCCGTCACCCTCACCACAACCTCGCGGCGGCGGCGGCGGCGGCAGCAGCAGCAGCCGCCGCCGCAACCGCTGGTGGCGGTGCTGCTGGTGCTCCGGGTGCCAGCCCTTGGCAGAGTCCGGGCCAGGTGCCTCCGTCATTACCGGTACGCTCGCCCTCGGCGGGGATGCCGGCGATCAACGTCTCGATCTCGATGATGTCGCCGTCGCCGTCAGCGCCGCATTCATCTTCCAGCGCGGCGCCCGCGCGCAGCGGCTCGACGGCGGTGCCCGTTGTCGGAGGGGCGTCGTCGCCGCTGAGAGCGGCGGAGGCGGCGGCGGCGGCGATAGTGGCCTCCGGCGGCGTGAGGACGGCGGCCGACGCCGCCCAGATGGCGGAGCTCTTCCGGCAGCGGGCGATCGCGGAGCGGCAGGCCGCGCGCAAGCTCACCGAGGACGTACTCGACGCGAAGGCCTTCTCCGAGCGGAATAACAAAGCCGCGATGTGGCGGGTCGAGACGGCCACCAGGCTCAAGGACAAGCTTATCATGGCGAACGACCTCATCAGCGGGTACATCAACATGAGGAGGGGCGCGGTCGAAGAGGTGAAGGCGGCGATGGCGGAGGAGACCAGGGCGGTGGCGCGCTTCAAGGAGGCGCAGGCGCAGGCGGCGGCCCTCCTAGAGGAGGCCACTGGGCGCGCGGGGGGTGGCACGAGGGCGGCAACGAAAACGGCGACAGGCTCCCCGTCGTGGAACAACGACAGCAGCAGCAGCACCAGCAGTAACGGCAGCAGCGCCGGCGCCACCACCAGCAGCGCTTCAAGCAGCGGGAACGGGCACGACGTCTCCGCGCCGATGAGGCGCAGCGAGTCTCCGGCGTCGACTCTGACCGCCGGCCTGGCCGCAGCAAGCGCCGCCGACAATGCCGCGAGCAGGCAGGGTGCGGGTGCCTCCAACGGCCCACCGTCGTCATCGTTCAGCTCGTATTCTTCTACTCTCGCCGGCGCGCAGTCTCCGGTCGGGGTGCTCACCTCGATGAAAAAGTCAGAGCCCCCGGCAGCAGCAGCAGCAGCAGCAGCAGCAGGCGGCAATCCTTCCTCCCCCGGCGGCGGTGACGCCAACGCCGCCGCCGCCCCCGTCTCAGCGGCGGCGGTCAGGGCGAAGGCCGTCGCCGACGCGCTGCTGAAGGAGGCCCAGGCCGCGACCGCGGCGTACCACACCAAGGAGCGGGCCATCGTCGAGATCGCGACGAGGCAGAAGCGGGCGGAGGCCGGGAGGGCGGAGCTCGTGCGCGAGACCCAGTACGCGTCGGACTCGGCCAGCAAGGCGTCCCAGGCGGCGATGCACTACGAGCAGGTGGCCCGCGTGAAGCGCGGGGAAGAGAAGGCTGCCCTCGAGCGCGTCTCCCGGGCGGAGTGGGAGTCCAAGAACGCTGCCGACAAGGCGCTGCAGCTGGCGGGGCTCGAGCGCAGGCAGCTCGCGTTTCCAGGCGCAGTGATGGCGGCGGTTGCCGCGAGGAACGGCAGCGGCGGCGGCGGCGGTGCCGCCGCTGCTGGAGGCGGTAACGGTGTTGTGGCCCGTCGGGGAAGCGCGAACAGTGGTTGCAACGGTGACCGTCAGGGCGGACCCAGCTCCTCCTCGTCGTCTTCCTCCAAGCCGACGACGGTGCGTGCGTGTGTGCAAGCCCTGTAGCTGGGTTCTGCGGAAGGTTGTCCGGAAAATGGAGGGCGTTGATTGAAAACGACCACCCTTGCTGCCTGCCTGCCTCGCGTGTGCCGCCCGCCCCGCTGCATGCAACGGTCTGTAGATCCGAAGTGGCAGAATTCCGTACACGATCCTCCCCGCATTTTTCGTCGGTAATTAGCGCCCACTGTCCGTCTCCGCGTCTTCCTTCCCATATTTTTCCGTCCCATGTTTAATCGCAGGGGTCTCATGAACGACGTTGCTGAGAGAGTGTCGGGGGGATGCGACCGGTCTGCTCCGCTGTACTTTGTCCCCACGGACGAGCAAGGTTGCGATGAGTCACGGCGGCCGAAGAGGGCGACGAGAGCGGGGCACGAAGCGCGGGGTGGCGATGCTCTCTTGCTGTCCAAGTTGCGACGACAAACCCTTTGCTGCGCGTTTTTGCCGCTTTTGGGCGGACTTTTCGCGTGGGTTGCTTGCTTGCGTAGGGATAAAAGGATACGTTGCCCTCGGAAGGTCGTCAATTCTCGTCCTCGTGTCTTGCGTGTCGTCACGCTGCTGTGATGTTGGTTCTTTCTGTTCCGTCGTGATTGACGGGCTTGTGTGCGAGATATTCCGGCGTTGGCGCGTGCTTGGCTGGCCATGATGGCGGGGAGAGACGCTTCTTTGTCGAGAAACCTTCCTTTCCCGCTTCCCCAGGCCCATGCGGGCGAGGGAACCGAGTCATCGTCGTCTATTAGTTGCACACGGCCACGGGCGGGAGGGGGCGAATAGCAACGTTCCATGAATGGAGTTGCACCACCATTTTTGGCCTTAGTCTTTTGGGGGGTCGGGGATCGGCCCCGAACGGACGGGGAAGATGCAGAGCAGACAACGAGTGGGGGACGTAGGAGTCGACATGAGGTGGGTCGCCAGGTTCGCATGGGCGCGGGGGAGGGGGGGGGGGNNGGGGGGGGGGGGGGGGGGGGGGGGGGGGGGGGGGGGGGGGGGGGGGGGGGGGGGGGCGTAAAGACGCTGATAAGACGGTCCCGTTCCGGTCCGGTGTACAAGTGAAGTGGTGTACAGTGTTGTGGGTGGGGGGCTGCGTGTCGGGCTGGGATGGGAATTTAGCTTATTTTTCGTGTGCCTTTTTCTCGACGAGTGAGGAACACACACGCACACAAGTTCGGTGGTCTGCCCCAGGCGATGGCGGTAAACTTTCGGGAGTCTTGATCGTGGCGGTTAATTTTTGTCCCCCCTGCGGTCGGTGTGGGGGGAGATTTACCGTGGCGACGTTTGTAGGGCAACTTTGTTCGTGCGGTACACCCGCCTCAGGCTTGTTGCTTTTTGTTGGTAGTCGTCGGTCCGTTCCTGGGAACGCTCGGTGCGTGAATTGTCGGGCGGTGCGTTTCCCATGGGCTACCGGTGACCTGCCTGCTGCTTTGTACACGTCGCGCAGCAATCAATCCATACCATGTGTTTGGTGATGATGAATTGAAAGCATCTCTTCTTTTTCCTGCATTTTGTTTTTGGTGTTCCGACGATACAGCAAACCCCTTGTTTGACGTCGTGTTTAATATGCATGGGGAGGGGTGGGGTGGGGAGGGTTCACATTTTTTCGATCTCGAGCGAGGTTGCTGCGTTATCGGGCAGGGGGAGAGAGAAACCGAGGATTTTTCTACACGTTGCGTCGGACGCCATGTGTCCGCCTTTGTAGAGCAATAGTAAAGCGAGGGAGGAGACTGAGGGACCAGCCGTCATCGTCCTAGAGGACTCAAAACACAAGTGTTTTGCGGTCTCCTGTGTCGGTAGTTGTTTTTTTTTCTCGATAGACGTACACAGGGAACGGCTTACGCTGGGCTTAGGGCGGCTGTACCATCATGTATGGAGTTTTGTTCATGCCGCCTGGAGGGGGGGGTGGGGGGGGCGGGGCAGCGCTCATGCATGTGCGACTGAGGCGGCGCATGACCCGCGCGAGCATGTACATGGAACGGTTTTCAGCCATGACGAATGTTCGGGGCTAGTGCGTAGCTATTGTAGCACTCACGTGATCGATCATCTGATGTTTTGCGTGTTGTGCTGAAAGCACATGTCCAGCCTTGATTTTGTGCGGGGGGGAGGGTGGGGGGGTGTTCGCAGATGCGATCGCGCGGTGTCGCCGTTTTTTTTTTGCGTTTGTTCCGTCTGCACCGGCACGCTGGAAAGGTGCTGGTTTCTGCTGGGATTTCGGACGTTTTCGGGCGGAAGCCGTCAACACGACGACTCTCTCGTAGCTATCCTACTGATCTGGTATTTTTACCTGGTAGCGGAAGGTGGCTTGAGGGACGGAAGAGGCACCGCGTGTATTTGAACGGGTTGGTTTGTTGTTTGTAGTTGTTTTGAGTGTTCGTTGTTTGCCGGTGGGTGGGGGGGATGATGTCACGGAACCGATGTTGTTTCTCGCTCTCGAGTGTTTGTTGGTTGACGTGTCCTTCTTGCCTTACTTGATGTGCGTTCAGTTTCAAATGTCGAGTCGCATCTCGTGTAGTACTGTAGCGAGACTTTTTATTTTGTGCCCCGTGGACCTCGAACACATTCGGCTCTTCTTCTGCTTGCTGTTGTTCACTCCGCGAAACAGGACACACGCGTAGCCACTGGTATCCACGTGCACGTGTCATTTACAAAACCGTCGTTGTCGTACTTTTTCACGTCTATTCAAGTTTGTTGTATGTACGTTGGTTGTTTGTGCGTGCCACACAAGATGTCGGAAAGAGGAGGAGGCATTCTCGCAACAGGCAGGAAGGAAAGGCGGCGTTTTATTTTCTTGTACCGATATCGTGTAACTGCTGTTTTGGCGAGAGAGGAGAGGGCGGGAGACGATGGTGTTGGGAAAGGGAGGCTTCGAGAGATTTTTCTAGACGATGTGACTGCTGTGTGAGTCTTTTAAGGGGGACAACGAGGACATGACGAGGGGGGGTCCTCGTTTTTTGTACGCGTGCTGGTCGTGGTGGTGGTGGGCGTGGGCGTGGTGGAAGGCAGAGATAGAGTAACGATGATATTTTGGGCGAACATCCCCAAGAAGGTATACCCTGATCGAATAGCGCCCCACTCAGCTGGAGGTACGCACTGTATTGATTGGCAGTCTCAAACGAGCCCTCCTGATTGGTCGACGTCCAGTTTCTTTGACCCTGCCACGTCCCATTGATCCTGGGGTATACCCGTGTTTGTCACCGGGTCAGCGGCACCACCAGGCAGCTGGTTTATTCGCGGTCGGGACCCATTCCGCTTGATAGATCCTTGACTTCATTGATTCTCACCGATCAATGATTTCGTTGGAACGCACGGCGCGCGTTTCTTCACTGTTTCACTCCCTTTTACCAGTCAGGGCTGCGGCCCTCTCCACGTCATTCGGTCGTCGACTTTCGTCATGCTGACCTCGAATAGCTCTGACTGGTGGATGATATAACACGGTACGCGAAAGACGCAGAATGCGATTTGTTTGGGTGTCATCCAGGTTTTCGAAAGCGAAGAATAATCACCTCTCACGTCCTCCGTAGTACCATACACCACATAATGCTCACGCAGGTATCCATAAGGAAGGTTGTATTGTACTCCGCACGTAATTAATTAGCCCCAGAGGTAAAACACACGCACGCGTCCGCGTGTTTAGCGTGTGGTTGTTGTTGTCTCCACTTTATATCCGTACTACTGGTCCAACTGACTGACGCGGACGCCTTCCGTGGTCACAACAAGCCAAATGCACCCCATAGGGGTGATAAGCGATTGTAACTTGTGGCTTCCCCACACGATGAAGCAATCGGGATAAAGCACGTCGTCGGCGTGCTGCACGAAAAACCATCGACGTACATATGGGGTAGTAGAAATGACAGCCGTTCACTACAACATTCGATGAGAATATGGATTCATTCATGATTCATTCAAAAACGATGGCTCGTTTGTTTGCGGGCACTGAATGTTGCGGTCGAATTTCAACGACTACTTTTTCTGTTGCCCTCTCCCCCGTTTGCTGTCGCGTTCAGACTGTCTCTAGGGATATCCCTGTCTCTGTGCGAGTTTGTTTGTGTCCTCGTCTTTGCTTTATTCTGTTTTATTTTGTCTTTTGTTTTGTTTTTTACTGGCACGTACCCCCGCCCCTTCCTTTGGCCGTCGACCTGCCTCCATGTAGTGGGAGGCTACCCCCCCAGGCTGGTGGTGCGGCCGTTCCACTAGTCTAATTATTTATTTTATTTTTATTTTATTTGTTTCTGATTATATTTTGTTTTCTTGTATTTTATCGCTCTGCTGACCCTTGGGGTCCATTTTATTTTGGTATACCTTTTCTAGGTACGTTAGCCTGTGACCACGGAAATTGGCCGAGTCAAGTGATGGATTAGTACGGAGAGATTGAGACAGAAGGAGGTACTGGATAGAGAGACCGGGATGGTTTTTAATGTGAAGACAACAACAACAACAACAACAACTGAACGATAACACTGTCATTGGGACGAGAGAGCGCGAACGAGCGCAAACACAAGCTGTAGTTGGCTACAATGCAGGAACCCCAGGAGAGCAGAGCCAAATACTGCTGTAGACCATCCACAGTTACGGACTGGGGCTCCAAATTTTCCGGTGGAAGGTGGAAGCAGATTTTGAGGTAAGAAAGTTTCCTGGAAACTTCGTGCATGTGAATTTTAAGATTTAAGCAGCTTCATGTGATTGGCTGTGGGTCAACAGTCCTCCCACGAACTTCCCCTGTCCGCAGGTGCTGTTGTTTGTTCGTGGTGCGCTGCGTGGCAGCTAGCTGCGTGTGTGTTTTCATCCAATATATTATGGCGACAGCAGTCCCCCCATTTTTCGTGTTGAGACGTGTACTACACTTTTCAGTGTAATTTTTCGTACAACTACAACCATCCAGGGTCACACAGGAGGGGGTAAACACCAGGGCTTTTTTTTCCTTGTGATTTCTTTTCATGCCCCAGCCCACCTTTCTCCTGCGGTGCGTGCTGAATTTTATTTTTATCGCGACAAGGGTCCGTCCCTTTCCCTTGTCAACGGTTGTTGACTTCACATTAAACCGTATGCCAGTTGCTAAATGCCAAAATCTAGCAAAGACTCTC